GTAACACTTTACTTGACGGGGTGTACTAACATGACACTGTCATAAACATGACATAATACCTGTTATGAACATGAAGGAGTCTTTATGAATGTTTATGACTGTTATGAAGTCTCAGTCTGTAAATAATGACACTTTTAATGCAAAGTTGCTCTAAAAGTCCATTGAAAGTCCATTAAACGTGCCAGCTTTGCATTTAAGTGTCATTATTTACATAATGATACAAAGTCGGCACTTCTAATGGACTTTTAATGCAACTTTTAGAGCAACTTTGCATTTAAGTGTCATTATTTACAGAATGAGACTTCATGGCAACAATCGTAGACATTCATAAAGACTCCTTCATGTTTATGACAGTGTAATGTCAGTCTTATGCACACCCTGTCATATAAACTGTTACCCTTGTGGGTTTTTTTCGCCATTAGCACATTGAGCAGCGAGTACCCATGTTTGATTGACAGCTCTAAGACCTTCCTCATGGCTGTGATTAGTTGTTTTTGACGCGGAGAAGAGCATTTCTGCAGACAGCAATAGATGGAGGAGCTCTATCTTTTTACAGATTATCTGTTTAGACTGTCAACGACATGGTGACAGTTTTAACAAATATAAAACATAAAAAAAAAAACACACATATTTTGTAAAAGTTACATACAGCAGCTTTAATTTAGAGTCGGTTAATGTCGTGCCCCTTGTTGCAATTTGCTTTAATATGTTTTAGTTTTGTTCATCACTGCCTCTTTTAGTTTGGCAGGACTGTTTTGACATCATGTCAAAGATACCTTCAGTAACCATCAAACCTTCTCCCCAATGTCGGCATCTTTTTGGGATCCCAGTTTATTACAAACTGTTCGCTGCTAGTCATTTAGATGTTTTAGTATTTACTTCGCTGCGGGCAACAGACCATCTGCTTTTACGCTCCAGATCAACCAAAGTTCCCTCCAGCAGCCAGTGGCTCAATGACACCATGTCTCTTCTAAAGTTGGAGAAGATTATTCAGCAAATGACAACTCTGATCAATCCTGTAACAAATGGTGACCTTCCTGACATTTTTTCACTCTCTTCTGCCTCTGTATGATGAATGATGCCCATTCGTGCTCCCCACCTTTTATCTGTTTCCTTTTGATGTTTTTTAATAATCATGTTTATTTTTTCCCTCTTTAGATATAGATGTATATGTATTTCTCCTTTCTTTAATTTAATGTAGAAAAGAGTTGTTTAATTCAACTTAACCATGCCTCTCACATCAAGCTATTTTGTCTCATTGCGTAAAAGTTACTTTCAGTTGGCTGTGCATATTAATTAAAACCATTCTTAGTTTTCTTGTGAACTGAAAATTGAAAATGATTTTTATCTTTTTAAATCCCTCGAGGTTGACAGCCTCTCTTCTTCATGGGAGTTCTGGCCAAAAGGCAGCAACAAAAACAACACAGATAATCAATACTAATAATAAAAAAAATGTGTGCGATTGTTTGACATAGTTATTTTATTTTGAATCAAATTTCCTGTATTTTAATAAAGTTATCAGGAACAATAAATAACTGCTTGGTGTAAGTAAAGGAATTCAGGGTTTCTTGAGTTATGTGGTCGAATCGTGGTTGTTGTTCTCTTAGCTGTACAAATATAAGACCACTAAAACGTCTTTGACATATTGGACTGAAAAAACATAATAAACATAATCAGAAAGTTCAAATGTGTTTACCTGTCAGCCTGACCGGCACACATGGCGGCAACACAAGACTGTAGCTGTGATACTGTGTCAAACTAACACTGTAGCTCAAAATAAGGTGGCTATGTGCGTAACAGCCAGTGTGCTTTAAGCACCGACCAGAAGGTGGATGGGTGCAGCATTATAAAGAGTTCAGTGGACGAGGACATTTAAACGTAAGAAACCACCGATTTGCTTAGTGAAGTGTGCATGTAGGCCGACCGGAGAACGCCTGGCGTTGTAGCGTAGCTACAGCCAAGCGTGGTCCCATTTCTGCCTTTAATGCATACGGTTTGCAGCATTTATGTCCTCAAAGATCTGAGGCTTAGTGACTAAATGCTTTCTGGTGCTGGTTTTTTCCCTCCCCAGGCTCCCAGAATCCAAATCATTCGAAACCTCTTCCGCATACAGATGAACTCTGTTGAGAGCTGTGGAGAAATCTCTGCAGAATCTGGGTCTCTCAGGTCCTCCACCATTTCTTCACACTCTTAAGTGATAACAGCAACAGACAATGTTCATGCCTCATTTCATTTCATTATCGTGTCCCGTCCGCCTCATCGCCTCGGTTCCTGGACCAGTCTTTTATCTCAGCATGTAAGTAATCACTCATGGACAGCAAACATAATAGAAGAGGGGGAAGATTGCCTAATCAAAGGTTTGCGAAGCCAATTTAATGCTTTAGAAAGAGAACTCCAAAGAAGAAGCACCCACTAACTTTGCATAATACTGCGCAGGAGGCTGCGATTTTCAGCAAGGCTACATGCTTATAATTAGAATGCTTTAGCATGCGTTCAACGCCAGCAGCATTCTGAGAGCTATTTGTGGATGCATAATAAAAAAATAAAAAAAAAACACACAACTGAAGCTTCTGTGTGATTTACAGTCAAAGTTCCTCATCGTTTAGTATCAAATGGTGATTTTAATCAATGCACGAAAAGTTCCTTCTATGAAGGGAGGAGGATAATCTATCGGTGGGGACTGTGACCTGTGAAGGTCATCCTTTTCTCATCCTCTCATATTTCTTCATTTGGTGTATTATCTGAGTGATCACCTGGTCTGATGGACCAAAGGAAGATAAATGGTACACAGGTTAGATTTACAGTCATCTGAAAATGCAACGCCATCTCATGGAATCAGAGGAAGGGAACATTTTAAAGTGTTTCCAAAGCAACCTCATCTTAGAGTAGAGCCCATAAACCAGCCCAAAACAAATCAGAATTTGGGTGAAAATACATTATTATGCTGTGCAGCAAAAATAAGACACGTAAAAAGCGTGAGGGTGGGACTGAGGACTAAACCTTGTGCAACCCAGTCGACTTTGTAAGACCTGGGCAATGCTAGGTTTTAAAAGCTGTAATGTGAAATTCAGTTGCATGACATGAGTCATAACGTGTGTTAATGAAGCAATGCCCCTGGAGATCTATGGAAAACTAGACCACCAGCTAAATATTGGTGTGTTTTACCCAGGAAGTAGGTGAGCATAGGATTATGCTGCACATATAAGTGGGTCTACTCTGCATACCTCTATTAGGCCTCTAGGATAAGTAGAAAATTAACAATGTTAAATATGTGCAGCTGAATTTAAGCATTTCTTCAAACTATATTTTTCCATTTTGGATTGTGCATTGTCCTCTACAACAGGAATATAATCTAGGTTCTGGTTTGAACAACTCAGAAATCCATTTCTATAACATGGAGTAAGTAGTAGTTGTAATATCTTTCATTCCCAAGATGCAGAAAGTCTTCTTAGTGTTGTATACAGCAATTTTTCACAATAATGCAAAGATTAGGAGAAAATAAAGAAATTAAAAGAATAACATGGATTCAGTCACATACTAGTATCTGAAAAGAAATGGAGGGAATGATTTAGTTTCACCCTCCTCCAACTCTAATATAATGAATCCAAAACTTGTCCTCGTACATCGCTCTACACACATTCAAACCTACATTCATAATTGTGTCGAAATTTGCACAATAATTACAAATGATAATATCATCCTGAAAGCAGCGTCCCTAGCTTTCAGCAGAGCTCTCTCCTCAGCCGTCAGTGAGGGTTTCTGGTTCGGGTAACAGGTCACTGTCTTGGTGTCATCAGCACACCTAGAGATGAAGCCTAGAGCAGAGGAGGTGATTTCCTCCAGGTCCGCCTGCCAATCTGTGCACTGACAACAGTCCTGGAGCACAGAGGCTGCATCCCTCGGCCACACAGTAACTTTCTTCTTCACTGGCTCGTCAGCGGACGATATGTTGGTGGCGCCAGCAGGATGGAGATGTGGCTGGAGAGGCCAAGATGCGGTGCACGCACCGTGAATGCTGATGCACACTAGTCCAGAGTGTTTTCTCCCCGTGTGGGACAGGTGATGTGCTGGTAAAAACTGGGAGAGTGTTAGTCAGTTTCAGGTGATTAAAGTCCCCCGCAACCACGTAAAACGCCTCTGGGTGCTAATGGTGTCATACAATTAGCTCACTGCAGGCATATGCTAACATTTGCGTTGTATGATAGCATGTATGATATGCTATGTTCCATCATATTGGAGGATTAGAACTGGATTAGTGAGGGACATGTAATAAATAAAGAATTGTCAGTTCATACTATTTAAAGTGATAATGAATCTTCCTATAACTTGACAGAAATCCCCACAAATCTTTAAGTGGCCTTTTAATTGCCAGATTGCTGACAGAATTTTTTTTTTTTTAGAAAGGCAAAGGGCCCTTCAAAATGAGCAACAGAAGTGAAAAAAGTCACAGACGTTAGCTTCTCAATATACCTAAATAAGTTCACTAAAAATGTCTGTATCCACACAAAATGGACGTCCCTCCTCAATGAATGATTCATTAATCTAAATTTTATTGTGTTCCTGTTTTTCTTGGAGATTAAAGGCAGGCTTGTACAAATATGGCAGAAAGTAAATAGCTTTTACTCATATGTTCGTTTATTTCACTAAGATTTATTCAACCTGTGTGCTTTCTACTTGCCATTGTTCCTGTAAAAGGCAGCATTAGTCATCACAGTTTTATTAATTTGATGTCATATTTTCAGAGCATACCGACACGTTTGCCATCTTAACGTTTCTTTCGTCTTAGAAAAAAACAAAAAAAAACAAAAACAGAAGGAAATTCTTTTGAACATTGCTGTGAAACTGATCTGGCATCCAGTGAAAAGCAAGTGAAGAGGTCACTGATGAGAGCGGACATCCTGTCCCCTCCACTCCTCTCTGAGTCCTGAACTAACAGTCATCACTGCAGCCTTTGTTCACCTTGTTGTTTACTTTTTGTTGATATTTTTTTCTTCTTTTTATGAGTCACACTTATCAGCAGTAACTGCAAGTTTGCAAGCAACTCAGGTCAGCTGAGTCAATGATTATGATTCAGTGGCTGTGTGTTTGGAAGCGATCAAGAGAGCAAGATTATCGGCCTGCAGGATTGATGGGACTTATGAATTATTAGGTGGAAGGAAAAGTAATATCGAAAAACTGGGCACTGAAGACCTGCAGGAGAAATGACCAATGACTGCAGCGCTGTGGAATAAAACAGACATTCACATGATTTATAAGGTTTAGGGAAAACCCTGGAGAAAGACCAACGCTTATGTAATTAGGGCTGGCTAGTCAAGGCCAGCCTTTTCACAACAATTGGCCATTTTCACAGCAATGTTCAAAAGAATTTCCTTCTGCTATTCCCCCCCCCCTCCTCAGTCAAGCAGAAAACTGCTCCGCTCCTGCTTCTTCGTCTAGCGAGGCCAGCTAAACTCTAGTAGGACAGTTAGATTCTCATTTGTAAAAGGCAGTAGTGACAAGTGAGTAAATGAAATTCATAAAGATGATTCACTGAGAGAGACCAGCAGGAGACGTCAAGTTTTGACTGAGGAATTGTTCTATTCAGTTCAAGTTGAACATAACAGCAAAGACCTTCTAGACTCAGAAGTTATGATTATTATAATTTAGATCTGGTGATATTCGTCTGTTATTAGTTATCTCAGTGAGCCAGACAGGTCATCTACACATAAACAGGATCTAAATTATGCATGACAATAGCAACAGGGAATTATTAGTGAACATGCTTACTGAAATGTATTTATTATGCAGATAAAAATATATATTTTCCTGATGACAGCTTCAGCATGTATGCTTTGACTTATTCTTCCACACTGTCTTTGAATCCCTTTGTTCTGAAGGCCTTGCTCTTTACTCGATTGGATTCAACTTGAGTGATAGATTGGTCTTCCTGACAGCTTTACTTTCTTTCTCAGCCAGTTGAATTTTCTGGTGTGTATTCCTGGGTACTTTACTGGCTGAAAAATCCACCATCCCTCCATCTTCACAGCCTGGGTTTCCCCCTCAAAACCTGTTAAGTCTGGCGGTCGGAGCACTCGGTCAGTCTGCCAGCAACCCACTGCGTTTTAAAAAAAAAATGTTTCAAGTTGACAGTTAATTTAATAATATGACTAGGTAATTTGTACATGATTAGAAGACATTGTTGACAACACTTAACCACACAGTCTATAAAAAGCAACAAAAAAAGCATAATTAATGTACATATACATTTTCTGCACTGTCCTAGTTAAGTAAACAGTTGTTGGCTTGGTCTTAAAACAAGCTGCTCGCATTAAGAGCTGCACGTATGTGACTTTCATGAAGACATTTTTCTTTTTTACATATTTGTCAGCACTGCTGTCATGACAGCATGTTATGAGGGAGATCATTTATAAACAGACATGTCTCCTCCACCTCCTCCTCCCTGTGCTGCTTTTGCTGCCTGAAGAAACACGCCTCTTCCGAGTCTTCCCAACCAAAACCCACCAACTAGAGCCAGGAGGAATGCCTTAGCCCTGTCAATCAATGCTAACTGTGCTTGACGATGACTTACCATTACAGGAAAACCGTTAATTGTCATCGCTGGCCATGCTAGCTAGCCGGAGCATTCATGGCATTCTCTGCTAGCTGCAGCACAACAGAGAGAGCAAGTGTGGGAGGGGGAGAGAGATGAATAAAGCCACACCAGGTTATGATTGACAGCGCTAGCTCTGATAGCTGAGCACTAGGTCAGCTATCTAGCTAACTAGTTAGCACTGGGAGAAGGCAGATGAGCTCAGTTTTTTTTTTCATATCATATTATATATAATATGCTATATATATATATATATATATATATATATATATATATATATATATATATATATATATATATATGAGATCATGTCTCAAATGTCATGACATGGTGAGTTTTAACAAATGTAAAAAAAAAAAAAAAAGTATTACAAAAGTTTAGCTTTAAGCAGCTTTAAGGCATAAATGGACTAAGCAGCTGCTTCGGGCCCCCCAGACCTCCAGGGGCCCCCATAAATGGTTACATTTAAACTCAGATCAATGTTTCTCTGGCTGGTCTGTTTAAATACCAGGCTAGCAAGGTATCCCACAATTCACTGTGTCATCAGCAGCAGCAGCAACTAACTAAACCACTTGTTTGTCACACAAATTGTTTTAAAATGTTTCCGGTGGAAATTTGGATTCTAAACCTTCATATATGCAGCCAGTTCATCAAGAATGAATATTTCCTTTCAGAACCAGCTCTTGTTAGCTAGTTTTGGACATTTACATGAAACCATGAAAGAGTTGCATGTTCATTTGAATGACCATCTTGCTCTGTGTTAGGGTGCACGTTTGCATATGATGAAGACTTGCAGGGCCTGATGCATTTTCCATCCATGATAGTTCAGGGGGGAGAACAGAGGCTACATCCACCACCAAGGGGGGGCAAAACTGTGATGTGGAGAACATGGTCATCTAGTGGAAGCCTGTGATAGAGTTTTCCACGGTAAATGCAGAGATATTTGATCAATATAAAATGGGAGGAAATGTAACCTCTGTGTTGGTCAGTTAGTCTTATTTCAGATCGGCTGGCTGTGGTGCTTCTGTGCACAGCTTTTTTTTTTTTTTTTTTTAGCACATCTGACTGACAGCAGTGGGAAGTTAAGGTAAAGAAGTAACAGATGAGCTGCATAGCAACTAAGCTAAAACATGAAAAATAACCTTTCTTGAGACCTTTTAGCATTACTTAACACGTTCTTGGAAGAAAATAAGTGCTGCAAGATTTTATGAGAGTGACATGAAGCGTGGATATGTTTACTACAGATTTGCAGAAAACATGGGTAACCTCCTCAGAAGCTGGAATCCGGAGAGGAACCGTGCAAATCTGTCATGTCGGCACCAGACTCAGACCCCTACTTAATATCCACAACCACAGCTGAGTTTATTATTTATAGAGGGCCCTTCTTCTTGGATCATTCACACTGTCTTAGTGTGTTTGAGGAGAGCTTCCACAAACATACCCTGATTTATTTTGTCCTAATTTTCTTTTTTTGTTGTTGTTTCAAAACAGAAACGTGCCTGAATTAAAACTTCTACAAGAGCAAGAGGCACAAAGCAAGGGAGATCTCCGTCACTTTTCTGGATTAAAAACTGTCAACAAAATAGTTGCAAGTCTGCAAAAGCTATGTCTGCATTTTCTGCTGCTAAATTATTAACCTCCAGCTCACTGAAGTTTTTTATTGTCTGTTTTTTTTCCCTGACTGACCCCTCTCCAAAAGGTCTGACATTATCTCAGAGGCGATTCCTTTCAGTTGCTTGGTGAGAACCTTCTGACCGCAGACGGAGCAGAGGCAGAGCACACAGCAGAAGGGCCACCAAACGTGTTCTTTTAACTTATCGGGAGAAGTGCCAGCGTTGTGTGGGTGTGATTAGGTTTGCAGCCTTGCCAGCATGACTGCTTCAAATTCTCTGATGACCAAATCATTTTGTGGCCTGTGGACCACTTGCTATGAATGAGCTACGGTTAAGTCTGGAACCAGGCGCACCCCAAGCAGATTGAAGTGAAGTCAATTAAGTTTGATTCAAAAATGCTTCGATTCCAAAGGGAAATTAAATAAATAACTGTAAACTTTGATTTTTATCACCATGGTTCTTCTCACTAAATCATTTTCAACAGTCTATTTTTAAATCAAATTAAAACACAGACTAATCTTTTTTTTTTTTAATTATTATTATCTTCATATTTGATCCCCCATATAGAGAGCTGCTTGTCTAATTTCCAACCAGAAAAGAAATTCTCAACTGCATGATACTTAGAATCTCAATCAGCCAAGGTCAATCACTTTCCAAATAATGTCATTCAATAATCTTAAAAACATTTCCTAATACAACCAGGTTCACTGGGTTTTGTTCACTGCATGATAAAGACTGTGGGATAAAAAAACTGATAAATAAAATAAACACGTGAACAAAAGGGAGACATAAAAAGCCAAGAAACCAGCAGCTGTGGTCGTAGTTTGGAAGTAGAAAGTCAGAGGCCTCTGAAAAAACCTGACTGAAGATGCTTTCCCTTCACAAGACCTTCTCACGAAGAGGATGGTCAGGGTTGTCCATAAGAATCCTTCTTTGCATCATCGTCTCCAAAGGTTCCACAGTCGCCCCCAGAACAGAACCAGCAAAGGCTCAATCAGGCTGCCGAGCCTTTTTCTATATGGACACACCTCAGAAGTTACTCATTCTCTCACTTCTTTCCTCTCTTTCCAAGAGAGTCCAGAATCTCCAGCTGACTCCAACCAAGCTCTCTGCATGACCCAGTTTCGGGTTATTTCTTGTCAATGTTATGAATTAGACAGTTTTAATAAAGACTGTGAGATGATTTTCAAAAACATTCCAATTATCCAATTTTATTAGCCTACTACGAAATGCCAAACCCTCGTGGCTAAGTTCGCTGGAAGTTATGGGGATCAACAAGACGTATTTGTCGGGCACCATGAATGGTTATATTCACGATCTTTTAACTTATTCCAAACTGTGGATGCAAAATATTTTACTGGGATCCAGAGCAGAGAGACACTTCTACCCTGGGGATATGTTACTAAACAGCCATGGCAAATCGCTGAATGCAGCATGACACAAAGTGATGAATACAAATCTGGAAATATGTGTATCTGTTGTCCCATATGTATAGGTTGGCTCTTCTGTCTGGCAGCATTCAGTATTCCCTTGCAGTCATGCTGGAGTGGCATTACACTAAGAGAGATGTGGGTCACACTTTTATCCCAGTCCAGCACTGAAAGGTGCTGTGCTCGCTCCACCTGCACCCTGAGAGCTGACTGACACTGCTATAGGTTATTTTCTGTTCCTATTTACTGTTTTTGTAGTTATTTTACATATTTTTTTTAAGATTTCACATTGTCAAAATATTAATTTGCATGCATTCAATGTTATGTTCTAATGTTCTGTAAGCTTCATAGTACTATGTCCGTTGTTCGTGAATAAATTGAGGTTTCTATAAAACAACGATATTAATGATAATACAAATTGGGGCTAGTTTGTTTTTTCCTTTAGTGATAGTTCAGAATTTTTGAAGAAGGATTTTTAGAAGTTATTTTTTACTAATAGGCTATTTAGACGTTGTAAAGTGGAAACCTACAGAGCACTGGAGGGCTAACAGCTACTGAGAGAGGCCTATTGGCCTATTGTAGCATCTTAACACACTGTTTCTCATCACTGGTGCTCAGGAACCACTGCCCTGCATGTGTTAGCTGTGTCTCTGCTCTGGCACATTCAAATGATAGCATTAGCTCCTGTGTGCCATCAAGTGCTGCAAAAGCCTGTTAATCATCAGTTCATTCATGTCAGGTATATAGCAGAAGGGAAGCACCTAATGAATGCAGGGCAGGGGTCCCTGAGGACCAGGATTGAGAAACGCTGCGTTAACCTAAACTGAGGATGAATCTGGTAAACAGCACTATATTAGAAGATATTGATCCTTTGCACTTCATCTGCCTGATGTAATGGTGCAGGAATATGGTCCTGTTTTAGTTGACCATACTTAATTCAAACTAAAGAGTCTGGATTTGTTTTTGTATTTATGTGAGGTGTGCAAGTGTGAGGTCTTACCTTTCAGAGGATCTCTGACAGAGATGCGGCGCTCCTGTCTCTGCCTTCATAGCTTTAGGCAACCAGCCGATGTTTGGTGACGTTGTTAATGAGTTGTTGGGTGGTGGGTCAGCGCCTGATGACATCAGTGAAGCTTTCTCTGGTTTCCTGGTCACCAGGCCTCAGCCTTGACACCTCACGCCTGGATTCATTATCCACAGATATCTAGCAAAGCTCCACAAACACTCTGCCTGCATTCTTTCCATCAACCTCTGAAATCAACAAACCTCATGAGAACCATCCAGCCACCCACACCAAACTTACCGTGTCCTCCAGGAGCCAAACATCCTCATCTTAGCAGACCCACTCCACCCAACAGGAAGAAAAATAAACTCAGACCTGCAAACACACCATCTTTCTCTGTGATGCTTACATCATTAACTTTTCACTTTCCATCCAGACACTGCTGCTGTGCTGGAGCTCTGCACCAGAGCCCATTTCTTGTTCCTTTTGTAAATAAATCTATGAAGTTGCAGCATGTAACGTATTTATTAAAACCGTCACTATGTTGTGACAGCATAACATCAGATAAATAATCGATGAAAAAAAAATCTACTCTCCCAGTCAGAAAGCGTTGTCAATCATGCTCATATAAGCATTGTTAAAGGTGGAGAAACAACTTACTGTTGTTACCAGAAAACTGTGTATTCACCATTGTCTGTGGCTATGCTAACTAGCCTGAGCATTCACAGCAGGACCCATTGTGGGGAAGGAGCATAACAGAGAGAAAGGGTAAGGGTGTGAGCAGCATGTAAATGATGGTGCTTGACAGCACTCAGACCCTCCTTCTGGCTCTTATTGGTTGTTTCTGACTGGCAGCTGTGTATTTCTGCAGATTGATTTTTTTCACAGATTATGTGTCTCATACTGTCACAACATGGTGACACTTTTAAAAAAGCATATTGCTTACCCAAGATGGTAGCACTTTATTTGAAGGGGTGTACATAAGACCGACATGACACTGTCGTAGACATCACAGGTGTTATGCT